CCAGGTAACAAAACGTTTGCAAGAAAACAACCAAGCTCAGAGAACCCCAAGGACTCCACAATTTAAGACATTACTATACCTGAAAAAACCCACTTGTATACTGCATTTGTGTATTTGTGTGTAAATGAGTGCCTTTGGCTTCAAAACCCAGCAAAGTAGAGATTAAATGCTTAATAACCATGCAACAAAATTGGTAAGACTTTGCTGGGCTTCATATGTTAATATGGATTTACAAGTGACACTTCCTCCAGCCAAAGTTTTTCAAAGTTCTGAGATTTCAGATCAGATCTGGGTTGAGAGGGAAGTCTTCAGGCAGGGATTAAAGAGGTACAGCTATCCCATTCAATTCATAGAGATGCACCTGATGAAATTATACTTAGTTTACCTGTACAAGGCAAATTTCTACTTACAGTACCAACTGTACAAACAGAAATTCAACTGATCCAATCCACCTACAATCCCTTCCCACAAATGGATTTCTCACTGATTTGTGTGGACCTAATTTTCGTTATTCTAAGCAGTTCCTTTTCATAGACAGTATTCTTTGTGCAGTTAGAAATCCAGCAGGTACACAATCTATCAACAATAGGTTTCAAGAAATATACCTTTTGGACATTTGACAGATACATTCTGACAAAATATGCAATTCTGTGATGTTGTACCTCTGTGCACACACACTCACACATACACACACACAGTTTATTGCTCTCAAGTACCAAAAAGTACTGAGATGTTTTTTACTAGGATACCCTGAACTTTTCATGTCAATACTTTCAACGTAATATGACCACTACCAGCTAAGACAAATAGAGGAAGGAGATATTACCACCTTAGACTTCTTGTTTCCTTCACCTGTTTTCTTCATATTTTTTTACTGAGGAAATTTGCATACTCCCTATGTCCTTGTTCATCACCTCAAAAAACTAGCATCTGACTCCTCTGATGTTCCAAACATTTTTCTGGGTTGTAAGGTAAGATGTGAGAATCCAACATATGATCTGTCTAGAGAAAGGGAGTTCCCGTTTCCAGAAGAACTCAGCCCATACCTCTCACCCTCCCAACATAATCTATGAGCAAAGACAACCTGGGAAGTCCCTCCAAGTAATCAACTCTGCTTCTCTTTCCTGCAGGAACCAGAAGCCATAGCAGTGACTGGGAGCAATGGAACTGTGAAGGCTTGGGACCCCCCAAATCACATCCAGCCACAATCTTGTGGCAAACCCAGTTTAAATGCTCTGGGGCTAGAAAAGCCTTCTATCCATTCACTCATTCTGGACTTCACTTCTGTCACCTTTGTGGACACCGTCTCTATAAAGACCTTTAAAAATGTGAGGGACGGCAAGAAAGCAGGAAAAGGAGAGCTTTCAGATATGTGGCTGTGTCAGGAAAGGCCAACAGACCTTGTAGGAAGGATAGGCAGGGAATAATAGCCACTGTCCACATGAAGCGTGGATTTAATTGCTTCCTTTTCTTGCTGGGATTCTGACAAAAATCCCACCTTTGAAGTTCATGTTTCTTTGGGGGGGGAAACTGTAAAAGTAGCATTTTCTTTCTGAACCAAGAAATAAGGATATATTGTTCCTATGTGGTATTCTCCAAGAAAAACCCTTTGGCTCCTTGCTGCAGAGTCACCATGCTGGCAAAATTGTTTTTAATCTTTTACCACCTTCTGCCTATCCCTATAAATTCCCCATCTGAAAAATATGATGTTCCCTCTAGCCCTTAAAAATATAGAGATCTTGAGATTCCTTGGACATAATACCTACACCCATTTGCTGTATGTACAAAATGCTAAAACATGTTGAGGTTCTCTAGCTAAGTCCTGGTGTTAAGAGGGTTTTCAGTTCACTGTGATTTCTGACCTCATAATAATGGCTCGCTTGCATTTTCCTGACCGGTTAAATCAATTTCTCTCACTTGGTCGCTCTCCCTGGCACACATACATGTGCACACTTTCTGCCTGTCATTTCTGTAGCTGAAATGGTTGGCAAGGACCCAAAACCAAGAAAGCATTTATTTCCTCAGCTTTTCAGAAATAGAGCTCTTCCCCATGGCGGATTGCTCATGGCCATTGCTGCTTCACTAAACTTCACAGGATTGATAAAACAAATGGAGGAGGATAATATGAGCTTCGTGAAATAACTTCCTGGAAAATCCTTTTCAACTGTATACCCTCCCTCTGTGATGGACTTTAACTCCCTTTAGCATGCTCTCTGGGGATAATGGGAGTCAAACTCCAAAACATCTGGATTGTTCCACACTAAGGGAAATCTCCATTAGCAGTTTTCTTACCCTAGCCTAAATTGGCCAGTTGGGCAAATACATGCTTTATGATTCAACGCTGCTGTTTTTGCTTTGTTGCCTTCTGCAGATATTTAAAGATTTCCAGGAGATTGAAGTGGATGTGTTTCTTGCTGGTTGCCATGGTAAGAAAGGCCTAGGAAGTCATGATCAGCCAAATTGCAGTAGACGTGCCATTACCTGAGAGAGGGAGTACCTTGAATCAAAAGTTCCTCTTTCAGCTTCAGGCCCTTGCTCTTGTATGTCAGCCCAGGTCTCACTCGTGGGCATTTGTGAGTTTCAACATGCCATTGTGAAAGGCCAAACTAGCAGGCCTGCCATATCTGGGCTACAAATATACAGAAAACCACTAGGTGGCAATAAAGACACAAGCGTTCTTTGTTGCTATCTAGTGTTAATCTGTATCTTTGCAGCCCAGATAGGATAGGCCTAAAAACTAGGGTATCTTATATTTTGGTATTATTTAAGAGTCCCATGAGGATAGCCTGGGAAAAATCAGCTTTTTTTCTAATTATAGCTCTTGGCTCCAGTAGAAATTGCTGCTAAAGCAAGAAGGATGAATGTGTCTCCCCACAGCATGCCACCCACCAGGCTAATAGCACTGCCTCTCCCAGCCTGTGACCTCCAGTTGTGTTGTGCCACACTTGTTGGAAATGATGAGAATAGTAGCTTAATGCAACCATAAGGTACCAGATTGGGGAAGGTATATAGTAACAACTGGAGGTAATTTAGATTAAGGAAAGAGAGTAAAACGTTAAGGAGATAACAGTTCCCAGTCTTGAAACCAACTGCATGGATCTGCTAGTTAGAAAAACGAGCAGCAAATTCGCAAAGTGAATGTTTTCACCTGGCCTTATTAAAATGGGCAGATAGCTTTCCCCAATCTTGTTATTTCCAGTCTTGTTGGACTAAGCTAGATATGAGATTGATTAGATTCATCACTAGTGTTCCCACCACGAATAGTAGAGGTGCCCCAGTATGGTTATGTCAGGCAATTTACTGTTCTTCTCTCCACAGGCTCTGTCATTACTCAGCTGGAAAGAGGCAATTTTTTCAATGAAACAATCACCAAGAACCACCTTTTTGCATCAGTGCATGATGCAATTACCTATATCACTAGGAACCGAGAACAGAGCATGCCACAAATTGACACTGTAAGCAGTTAGTCTTTTTCTTAATGACTCAGAAAACCTACTCCTCACAGGGATCATGCAGGTTTAGCAGACTGCCTTGGTGCTATTTTGAGACCAGGCACGTCCCTTGAAACAGCAGGGCTGAACTATTCCCTTTCCTTGATGATCTCATTATGTTTCCATTCCAGCATCGGTACCCTTTGGTCTTCTCTAGACTGTAGGGTTGATACTCACTCTTTACATAGACCTGTAAAGGGAAAACCCTAACTCATGTGCTAAGAAGATTCTCCCTCTCCATGCAAAATCATAATGTGTCTTCCCCATTCAACATAGTTTAAAGTAAGGTAGGGCTGAGTGTGTGTGTGTGTGTGTGCATGCCTTTGAGTCAGTGTTAATTCCTGGCAACTGCCTGGACAAGTTCCTGCAGTTTTCTTGGCAAAATTTTCCAAAGTGGTTTACCATTGCCTTTTTCCTAGGGCTGAGAGAAAGTGACTGGTCCAAAGTCACCCAGCTGGCTTCGTGCCTAAGGTGAGACTAGAACTCACAGCCTTCCAGTTCTTAGCCTGGTGCCTTAACCTTTATTTATTTATTTATTTATTTATTTATTTATTTATTTATTTATTTAAATTTATTGGCTGCCCAACTGTAGTGGACTCTGGGCAGCATACAAAACTGCATTACACCAAACTGGCTAATGTAGGGTTAAGTGACTCTTGTCATGAACTCACTAGACTGGATGAGACAAGCCATTATTTCTCAGACTTCCCTGTAAAGCAGGACTAATCACACTGAGTTCTTCTAAGGAGTGCTTTGATTTCTCCTTGGGGACTCTAAGGATTGTTATATGTGCATTCCCCTAGCAACTGGGTTAAACATTATGTTTGGGTATTTTGTGTTTAGAACTAGTAAACAACTAGGAATGTGACCTTCCATGGAAAGGAGGATGCAAAAAGAGAGGACCTATGTCTTGGGTAGTTTTTCTTGGTGTTTTGTCTCATGAACATGTACAGACACAGATACCTTGCATGGAAAATATGTAGAGCTAATTTGAGATGCTCAATTTCCATCTTTGTAGGTTGACTACAACACTAACATGTGACCCGGAGAGCAGAAATCAGGTTTCATCTTCCAGAAGATTTTCTAAACTGTGTTGCTTAATGAGGTAGGATTCACTGCCATTACAAATCCAGAGAAGAACCATTACCAAGTGCAAATGCTTAGAAACTGGAAGCTGGAAATACCTTTTCCTTGAGTGTCATCTCTGAAGAAACTGAGAACTGATTGTGGCCAAGGAGCTTTTATTCTACATCTCTGAGGCACGGATTCTTCTAGTTCTCCTGGGAACGTATTTCATGCATTAGGAAAGAATTCCTCTCAGGCACTGGAACTTGTTGCTATGCCTGCTCTTGGGATAAAGATTTTCCATTCAAACTTTCCACTGGGTTTGGTGAGAAATTTGGTCATTTCCAGCATGTTTTTGCCTTTGTGATAGTCCTGATCAACAAAGAAAGGCAGAACGTGTCTCTTCTAGAAGCATCTACTCCCCATGTTTGTTCCTTCCTTCATGGACTGGAATTTTAATGCGAGGTCTTAGAAAGTAAGTTTTTCATGCCTTGAATTTCTCTGGTCATGCCTGGATATTCATGCCTGAATATAGAGGAAGGGGCTTTAGCCCTCATGCTTTGCATGAAGTATTCCTAATGTTTCCAGTTAGAAGTATCAGATGGCAGACAGAACAAAAGCTGAAGACCTGTGCTTAAGACCCTGGAGAGTCAGCATAAGTCACAGTTAGCAATATTGGACTAGATAAACAAGACATCTGATTCTTCTTCTTGCCTTCATTGAAATTGCTCGATTTCAGTAGACCTGACTACAGTTTATTGAGGCTGCATAGGAAACAAGAAGTGGGGCTTTTGTTGCAGAATTGTAAAAACCAAAGTATGTATGGATTATTATGTCATCATTATTTCTGGAAAAAATGCAGAAGTTGAAATCAGAAGGTAAACAGAAGTCTGGTCTGAGAAAGGTTTTGGGGACAAGCATCCTACTAAAATGAATGAAATGTATTGGTGTGTACAGGGTCAGCTCTGTGAATATCAAAAAGCGGCAACTGTCTCTGGAAGCAGATGTTGGGAGGTACTCTGCAAGGAGTGAGAGAACTCTGAGTTACATGACCTGCCCTGCAACCCTAAGCCAGCCTGCTGCCTTTGCTACCTAATCAGGTTTTGTACTCAGAGGAAAAAAGGCACCGTCCTGTTCTCTCCCTCGGCCAGGATAGTGTCTTAAGCCAGCTTTGTTGCCTAGCTTGGAATTTCTACTAGATAAATGGAGTCTTTTATGTCCAAAGACTTTGCCCATTTATCCATGCATGCCTGACCTAAAGATAACATTTCACATATACATTTTTCTTCAGTTTGAGTGTAATTCTACTCTGCTTTTTTACTTTGGAAGATGTTACTGAACGCAGAATCTAATCCCAAGATCAATACATCTGTACAGATTTATTTAGTCAGAAAATTTGTATAAGAAAATGATTAATGGATTGATTATGTGCCATCAAGTCGTTGTTGACTCTTAGTGACCACATAAATAGATTTTCTCCATGACTGTCAGTCCCTGACCTGGTCTTTCAGATCTTACAACGATGCATTCATCACCACAGTATCTGAATCCATCCACCTTACATATAATGAGATAGTATGTTGTATATTATTATTTACTGCCCATAAAATTAATGTTTTAATCATATGTCTAGAAGTTTTCATTCTAAAGGAAATAATGAACTATGTTGCCTAATGCCTAATTTGGTAAATGCCTCTCCATTTACCAAATTATTCCCAAACAGTAGGGCTCATGGAAAGGCAATTTACATGTCATTACATTGTTTTTAGATTCATCAGAGTTGCAAGTAGAGAAGTAGCACATTATAGAAACAGATACGCTATGCTTTCTCTGATGTGCACATTTTTTCACATAGAAGGGACATGTTGTTTTTGATTAGGAGAACATTACAAAATATGACAGTCCCTTCAATTGCAGCCTAAAATTGTACAGTCTAAAATGTTATCATTTCATTATCCGCAGTACAGTGGGTTTTTACTGAAATCAGTAAATTGGATCATAATGGTTATCTGTTTCCAGCTGGACTGGTTGCAATAATCCACACCATAATTGATATTCAAGCCAATAATCAAGCCAGAATCTACAATTTTCAGATATATCCTCAATGACCTAACCACTTTATATATTTCTTCACTTGACTCTTATATTTTTTGAACTACTGTTTCTCATGCTTTGAATAGCTATTCCCTTTTTCTTTGTTTGCTTGCTTGCTTGCTTACAATTTAACTTGAAAACAGTCTGTCTTGTGGTTCAGCTAAATTAAAAGTTATAATAAATAACTTTTTACTGGAAATATTCTCTTTTGATAACTTTATCAGGGTTGCTCTTCAGTTTTGGCTCCTAATAGTCTCCTTTGACACTGAATTCCATATATTATGACAAGAGGTATAAATAACCTATTTTTAAAAAACAGAATGATTCATAGCAAACCAATGTAGGTTTTCCTTTTACACTGTCCATTTCTTTCTGCTTAAAATACAGTCACAGATTGGATGTCTGCCATTAAATAATTAGGATGGGCAATGTTTTTGTAACTAGAGACAAAACATGCTTTATTTTTTGTTTTTGTTTTTTTAAATCAGTTTTTTGGGTGTCAGGGTTGTGATAGGGATTTCACTTCTCTCTTTTACTTTTAATTCTGGGACAGAGCAAAAGATGTGTCTAATTTGCAGCAAATCATACATAAGCTGATTGTAGAATAAGACACCCAATTCTTTTCTATTCTCACACCAATAATCATAGTTCATAAGACTGGACTGTTGTCCTGATCTGGCTGCGTTCATTTTCTCACAAAGAACTGTTAGAAGAGACAAAAAGCAGTATTAAAACAACTTCTGTAAACACACTGAAAATGGAAACACGTGGAAAAACAAGGAAAGTCTTCCAAAAGATCTCTGAACTGAGAAGAAGTTTCCAACCTCAAATTGATATGCTAAAGGATGCCAATGGACAGACAGTAACCAATTCAAAAGAGATCAAATTAAGATGGAAGGAGTATGCTGAAACACTGTAAATAGAGATGTCAACATCCAAGATACCTTAGAAGATATTCCCTACTTACAAGAACCTCTAGTTCTAAAAGATGAAGTTAGATCAGCACTCCAGTCCTTACCAAGTTGGAAGGCTACAGGAACTGATGCAATACCCACTGAAATATGGCAAGCAACAGAAGAAGAATCAGTCAAGGTTTTAACTAAGCTATGCCAGGAAATCTGGAGAACAACAGAGGGGCCAACCGATTGGAAGAGGTCAATCTACATTCCAATATCCAAAAAAGGAGATTTAACAGAGTGTGCAAACTATCATTCAATATCCTTAATTTCACATGCTAGCAAAATAATGCTTAGGATCATCCAATGCAGATTAGAGCCCTACATGCAAAAAGAGATGCCAGACATTCAAGCTGGCTTTAGAAAAGGCCAAGGAACATTCAATATCCTTAATTTCACATGCTAGCAAAATAATGCTTAGGATCATCCAATGCAGATTAGAGCCCTACATGCAAAAAGAGATGCCAGACATTCAAGCTGGCTTTAGAAAAGGCCAAGGAACATGAGGCATTATTGCTGATGTATGTTGATAATTGAGAAAGCCAAAGAATACCAAAAAGAAGTCAGTATGTGCTTCATTGATTATAGGAAGGTGATAGTGATGATGGTGCTGATCATGTCAAGCTATGGAATGTGCTCAGAAAAATGGGAATCCCAGAACATCTCATTGTCCTCATGAGAAACTTATATACAGGTCAGGAAGCCACAGTACGGACAGAACATAGTGAAACAGATTGGCTCCGGGTTGGCAAAGGAGTGTGACAAGGCTGTATAATCTCCCTTTATTTATTCAACCTACAGGTAATCCTCACTTAATGACCATTTGTTCAGCAATGGTTTGAAGTTATGACGGTGCTGAACAAATGGCATTTATGAGTAGTCCTTGAAGTTATGGCCATTGCAGCACTCCCACAGTCACATGATCAAAATTTAGGTGGTTGGCAGCCTGCCTGCATTTATGAATGCAGGGTGCATTTCAACCACCACCCCCCACCTGCCTACCTCCTCCCTATCTCTGCCCTTTTGGCTGCCCTCCCTCCGCCCCTCCGCCACCACATTTCCCTGCATTTTGTCCTGCATCCCCACCTCCCTGCACTCCACTGCCCCACCACCCCTGCTGCCCTGCACTCAGCCATCTCTGCTGCCCCCTGCTGCCCCCAGCTGAACTTCACCATCTTCTTCCTCCCACTGCTGACAAGGTACACCCAGCCGAGGCACCTGCTGGCCCTTTGCGATGCAGTCTGCTGGCTGTGCAAGGCCTCCACATGGCCTTGTGACGCCAGTACTGCCTTGCAAAGGGCTAGGTCAGGCGCACTCATCAGCAGTGGGAGGAAGAAGGCAGCAAAGCTCAGGGTGGTGGGGGCAGCAGCGGAGGTGCAAGGTGGAATGCAGGGAGGCGGAGTGGCAGGGGCAGTGGATGGCAGGGTGGCCAAAAGGCCAGAGATGGGGGGGGATAGGCAGGTGGGGGGAGCTGAAGTGGAGGTGAGCACAGCAGAGCAGGAGAAGAGTGAGATCCTTGCCTAATGCCAGCGTGGTCCTCGCCTAACAACCATAACCAGGATTACTGGAACTACCAACACTAAGTGGTGCAGTCATGTGATGTTTTGCCTAATGACTGGTTCGCTTAACAATGGAAATTCCAGCCCCAGTTATGGTAGTTCAGCATGTATATGCTGAATACATATTAAGGGAAGCTGAACTTGAAGAAGATGAGTATGGTTTTAAAACTGGGGGATGAAACATCAGTAGCCTGCATTATGCTGATGACACTCTGCTGATAGCTGAAAATGCAAATGATCTGCAAGCTCTGGGACTAAAATTAAATATAAAGAAGACCAAGCTAATGACACAGGTAGAACAACCAGCCTTAGAATTGGCAATGAAAATACTGGAGTTGTGGATAGCTTCTGCCTTTTAGGATCAACCATCAATAGTAAAGGAACCAGCAGTCAAGAAATAGGCCACAGACTAGCACTTGGTACAGCAGCCATGAAGGCCTTGGAAAAGGTATTCAAATGTTGTGATGTGTCTATACCTACAAAGATCAGAATTGCGCAAGCCATGATATTCCCTGTGACCATCTATGGAAGCGAAAGTCAGACTTTGAAGAAGCAGGAAGGAAGAGTATTGATGCTTTTGAACTTTGGTATTCGAGAAGACTCCTGAGAATACCATGGACAGCCAAAAAAACAAACAAATGGATCATTGGACAAAGCAACCCAGAGTTCTCACTTGAAGCACAAATGACCAGGCTCAAATTATCTTACTTTGGACACACTGTGGAAAGACCCAGCTCTCTGGAAAAGGCTCTAGTGCTGAGAAAGGTGGAAAGAAAGAGAAGAGGATGACCAGCAGCAAGGTAGATGGACTCAGTTACAATGGCGATGGGTGCAATGTTGGAAGACCTGAAAGGCAGATCATCATGGAGAAAATCTATCTATGAGATTGCTAGGAGTCAAAAACTACTTGGTGGCACTTAATCAAAGCACAACTGTTTCCCAAAGTCAAGGCTTAAGAATATCCAGTCTTACAATGAGTCTTATTTCTGCTCATTACATAATAGCCACAACTCGTCTAAATAGGGATAGATTAGGAATGGGCAAGAGAAAGAAAAGGGGGACGCAGTGGCGCAGCGGCTTAATGATGCTGAAAGTTGCCGCCCAGAAATGGTTGACACTTCAGTGGTTCGAGTCCAGCCTTCG